GGTGGGCTCCAGTCTTCGCCAAGCGAGTTGCCGCCTGGCTGGTCGGACAGACGGGTACCCCGGGTACTCTCACCGGGTGGAGGACTCGGGAGCTCGGTACTGGGGTCGCCTACTTCCATTGGCACTGAAGGGGTGCTGAAGTCCTGGCACTGCCAGAACTCCAGCTCTACCTCCTCCCTGACCAGTCGCTGGTAGAACTCCCTTGTGATCTCTGAAAATAATACATACAAAAAAAAATTCATGTTTAAGATGCTAAAAAAAACGTAGAGCCATTACATTTATGTATCTGAATTTCTATGAGCGACTGAAGATGACCACGCTCGTGTTTGGCTTTTGACACTGCTTCGAGCTGGTCTTAGACGCATCCAACTGCCTCCTTACGCGGGTACAATCTCCCGCTTTGTATCAGTGCTTGCAGTGTAGGAGTTTGCAGTGTTGCGTCTTTGAAATCGGACAGAGTCATTGACTTTTAGTACCGCGTTGTCGATGATGTATCTGACACACTTTTCCGCTGCTTAAAGTGCAATCCCCCCCTCCAAGTTGGACAGTGGTATTGAACACTCACTCAATCACTCACTCAATCACTCAGTTACACTCGTATTTTTCACATGCAAAAATACTTACCTACAACAAAACCTCAAGCTGGTGTTACTCCGAAAGGCGAATTCCCCCCTCCCCCTCCAAGTGAGACAGTGGTATACAAACACAAAAACACTTACGGAAAAGCGGTTATACCAGCTATACAGATTCAAGAACAACACTGCTGGCACTCCTATCGCCGCCTCTGCCTCTTCCTTGCAGGTGGAACCCACTGAAACCTCGGGTCGTCCTCTGTGAGAGAAAAACAGTCATGCAGGAGACATGTTAGCAGTCAGTACAATTGACCTGTTTGACTTCCATGGATCGCATAAACTGCTGACGTCACAGGCAATCATTTTCGTGATGTCAGCTAATAGCACCTTGAGATCAGGTGTCAGTACAATCAACTTAACTTGTGGTATGTAATGCCACCATACAATGTTGGTGGCGGCTTTTTTCCCGTCATTTTCGGTGATGTATTATCGAGAAAATAGACACCAACCTTTTGTAATTATAGTGATCTGCCAGGGGGGACACCGCGAGCACAATCCGCTTTCGACTTTTGCGTCCTAGAACGTCATTCTTTCGAAATGTCCCTACTGCGACATAATTTCTGTTCCAAATGTCCCTCCAGTGAAATACAACTTATAGACACAACCATATCTTTTCACTGCAAACACATTTAAAATCAGCGCCCATACAATAGTCATAAACAATGGGCAACCCACATCTGGTTGTGACGACCCACCCAAGCGTCTTCTTGAGAAAAAAATCGACCCATGCCCCCCCCCCCCTCCTCCCGCTATTCAAACCAACGGGCTTTTTTGTGGCCAGTCCAATATGGCCTTAAATATAGGGGTGCATCTGAACTATTATATTGACTGCGAAAACAGCTAGGGTAAACATAAAAATATGTGCATCATTACGGCCATGCCTGCAGACGACGTATACAATTACATGCCGATCAAACAAAGGAAACCCTGTGTTTTAGCTGCGAACACGAAAACCCGTGCAGCCACAATACTCCTGCAGGAGGTATACATCCTTCACAGAGTTATAAGTGTCCATAGGTGACAATTCTCCAAAGTTTGTCAAGGTTAGGGCACCATGGTTGTAATGGATACATGTAGCCTTTTATTATAGGACATTTGATTCATAACACAATTGTTGTTGTGCAGCTCAGCCCAGTTTTTGTTATAAAGTGCATTTGGCCCATGTAGGGCGTGGATATGCAATAAAGTTCATTGTCATTGTCATTATAAATATTTAAGCCATGCACACAATCTGTCAGGTGTGATAAAAATCAGTACATCTGTAAATCGGCAACTTACCATACCGCTGGGGACGGCGTTTGATCCTGTGTCCTCTTCCCAACTGAAACAATGAATAGATGGATATTACTATAGATAAGTTATAATCCCGAACCTTAGGGCAATTTCTGTTTCACACTCACACACACATGCACACATCCATACACATGCATTCAAACACATGCACACATATACCCCTGCAGTTCCAGAGCAAGCCCAAACTCACGTCACGTCAAGGGGGCCCAAACTCACGTCACTTCCTCCCCAGCTCAAGAGCTACCTATCATCCAAATTTCGTCACCCTAGCATGTGTAGATCATGAGATCCAGCCTTGCTCAAAGCTATTCAGGTCATCTGATAACAAGGACATCATGCAGAAGCGGATACACCAACTGAAATGATGAAAATTGGGAAAATTTACAAGATGGAAAAGCAACATCACACTGATATAAGCAATAAATATAGAAGGCCATAATGCTATACCTGGCCACCATGCAATTTCTAGATCAGGGAAAAAAGGGTATTAGATCTGGTGACAAAAGTGCAACAACGACGGCTGCTAACTTTAAAGACACTATTTCGCTGTTTCTCATGGCACTGGTAACTTTGGGGATTTTATGAACTGGGATATAGCCAATTATCTTCCATGCACTCACCTCTGCTTCGATTTTTATTGCATTCGAATCAACAGGATTGTCTAGTTCAAAATGAAGTCTAATGGGTACAGTTCTCTTTCGTGTTAGCATTTCTTCTCGAACTTCTTCTAATGCCTCCTGGTACCGTGTTTCAAGCGTTGACCCCCTCAGCTTAACAATGTGTGCTTCACAAGGTTGGTCGTCATCACTTTCATCAGAGGCATCCGGATTGGAATGGGTGTCTGTGGGAGGTTGCTGACGTTGAGGGCTGTTGGTGGTCAAACGATGAAGTGGAGGGTTGTTGGCGATCAGCTGATGCACTTGAGGGGCTGGCAGGGCAGCAGTGAGGACAGTATCCTTGCTTCACCTCCGGCATGTCTAAAGCCACCAGGTTTCCAGCAGGGACGTTTGGTGGAATACTGGTGATGATCTCCCATTCCCATATGCAGGAGGCACTGGAGAAATCACCATCCTCATCAAGCCACTGTATTTAGAGACAAGATTAAAGTCATAAAATGGGAATAAGAATTGTCACATATTTTTTTTGGTAAAACGTCCACTATTGTTATGATAGTAAGACCTCATTATCGTTGTCATTAACGTTACTAGTACAGGGGATACCAACTCTAAATTTAGCATAGCTGATTCTTTCTTAGACTGCTCAAATCTCTCTCCCTCCATTTTGCTTTCTATGTGTTTAATTTGTGCCAGACCAAAAAATCTAGTTGTTACACTTACAGTTCAATGTTCTGCATAGAGCCCATTGTTATTCATTCATTATCACCTCTGCACCCTCCATAATTTGTCATAAACTCTGTCCCCTCTGTTCCCACTTCACTCTTGACCAGGTGAGAACCCCCCTACGGTTCAAAGCCGCCATAGCGGTGTACAAAATAATGAACAATTCATTGTAATGTAACGTTCTGTTTACGGTGTAGCGTTACATAATTCCTTTTGAAAGGTTGTAAGGAAGATAAGAAAGAAAATAGAATAATTTCTTCAAAAACGAAGGAGTTAGCCTCCTTCGCAGACTTGGGACGGTTTTTTTTCGGGAAGCGACGCTAGTTATGCGGAGAGGAACGGGTTTGCCACCGAGGGTGTTTGCCGGGTGAGCCGGCAGAACCGCCCTCCCCGGCGTCACTCCCCGAAAAAAAAATAACACCACTGCCCACAAGTTTGCGGAGGAGACTACAGTGAAGTAGATATTTCTAGAAATTGGTGAAGAATCTACTGTTTTCTTGATGGTTACTTCCCAGGCAGTCATCTTGTCTCCATTTTATGCGGATTTATTCAACAGTTTTCCTCGGACAGATTTCTTACTTATTTCGAGACGGCGCGTGGGCCTTAAACTTACCGTAGGTATACATAAAAAATTCATTCAATACTACGTTGGTTTTATAGTTTATAAGAGTAGTTTTTGGGGGGCAGTTCGTGGCGGTTCGTCGAGACCTCTGCACAACAAGCCTCGTCTTTGCCCCCCTCCCCCTCGATTACGTACCCTCGATACAGCAGCTAGAGAAAGTGCTCCAGTAACGTAATTTCAGAGAATTCTAGAACACAAATGACACAAAAGAGGCTCATACTACAAGGATGGATTAAACTATATTTGAGACTCACTTTAACCACAAAACTACTGGTAACACGGAGCAGCTTGGGTGCGGGAAAATTCTGGTGTCCATTGCCCCACTGTTGCCGATCTGCTATGAGTGCATAGTGTCTCTGTCGCATCGAGGAGGCCAAAGAAATGTGGCAACGTCTCAGATTAACTGACACAATATCAACACTTTCCCAGTTTAGATACAATGGTTTCTCGATGCAATATAAACTCATTATATTGCAAGAGGAAAAGGCAGGAGCTATCGCTCTCCTGTCCACCTCTAGTGCCGCCATGATTTCAAACTGAAATGGTACATCCGGTCAACCGTATATATCTTCTACTGACCGGAACTACAAATGCATTGTGGGGAGGGCATGTCATCCTCTTTTATCCACAAGATGGCCGCGCGGCGTGTTTTGGTAAAGATTTCTGCTGTTCTGTGAGTAGTTTTTGTAAGTGTATGGTCGATTCAGGACATCAAATGAACATTGAAGGCTACAACGTAGTCTCTTTTGATTTAAGCAGTTGATAAATAAAGTCAAAACATGTTGAAATTACTTTGTTTATGTGATTTGTTTTGAATCTTAACTGCCCCCTCCCCTGTAAGAGGTAACATGTAACGTTACTTATAAACATTGCATCTGTGTTATTCTAGAAAGCATTCAAGGGTATGTTTCCCCATTCTGGGAACGAATAACTGACATGGTATGTGACCCCGCGTCCATAGGGGCAGATGGACATCAGTGCGCGCGCATTTCGAGCCAGAACTCGTAACGTTTTGTTGGGACTGGCTGCTCTCTAGATCTCTTAGATATTCTGGCTTGTGAGAGACTGTTTTCTCAGATTTTCGGTATTGTTGTGGTGAACAATCACTACAAAATGTGCTACAGTAGCAGCGTTGTTATCATAATGTTACTGCTAATGGCTGGAGACATTGAAGTAAATCCTGGACCAGGACAGCAGCCATTCGCCGCATCAAACTTCTTCAACTTCAGTATCAGAGGTATCCAGCAACAGGGTGTACAACAGCAGCAGCAGCAGCAACAACAACAACAACAACAACAACATCACCAACAGCTGTACCAACAAGTGCCAGTATTGTACGTCCCCATACAACAGCCTCCGCAAGTCTCTCAAGCAGCTCTACAAGAGGAGAGGCAAAAACGTTTGGAAGCAGAAAACAGAGCCAGAGATTTTGAGACACAATTGCAGGCATGCAGGACACGTGAAGCGGCAGTGCAGAGAACACTGCGAGACTTAACAAGAAACATCGAACGCCTCCAGTCTCAGGAAGAACCACATCTTCGGGAGATCAGTTTGCTGAAGGCAAACGTTCGGTCAAAGAAGAACAAGCAAAGAAACCGAAGAGTGAGAAGTCACCGGAAGATGAGGTCTAACCTTTCATCAAGCCAGCTGAAGCCTTGCGGAAAGAGGAAGAGAAGGGAGACGTATAAGCGAAGGCTTTTTGAAACATTCGACTCTTTTCACCGAGAAGTGAAAAAAGCCAAGGTAAGAAGCTCCTCTGAATTGTATTCCTTACTTTTCAGCATTCAGACCTTACGCTACAGAAAATCATACTTTTCTGTAGGCATTTTCTATCTTAAGAAGGAGATATATTTATTTGAAACAGGTTCAGTATCATTTTATTGTTCAGGCATTTTCAATAGTTAAGCCTTCATCTGCAAACACAGGTTGAGCTAACACTGGCTGGGCAGGACAAGCCTCAACACCTCACTTGGCCAGAGGAGAACAGCCCATCTCATCAGCGTGGAGAGAGAACTCCTGAAGAAATCAAGTCTGTACAAAGGTGGCTCAGAATCAAAGATAAGTTTGTGATCTCTGATGCCGGGTATCAGGAAATTAGAATGATGTCTCCAAATACTGTGCCACCTCTGTACAGACTAGTGAATGAGAGAGTGGAACAGAACAAGATGATCCAGATCAACACAGATACAGAGGTAATTAAGATGACTATCCTAATTTTGTGTCAATAATTTCCTGGGATTGAAATTTTTATACCAGATGTTTGGATTGCTGGACAATGGCAATTTACCTTTGTTCATTATTTTTCTGCACTCAAGGTATGCAACATGTCACGGCGTTCTGTGAGGGAGGTCCTTACCCACCTCCTTCGACTTCCCAAACACAAAAGCTGTGGAGAGGAGATCTCAGTAAGGTTTTCCGGGGATGGACGACAGGTCACCCGGAACAACAGGATAGGTGCAGTTATGGGCACTGTCCGGATTGTCCCCAACAGGAACACCATCAATGCGAACTTGGACAATGCCCAGCTGCACCACTCCATAGATGAAGAAGCGTCCGTTTTCATCTATGAAGGTGAGTTTTTAAGACATTTGTGTCATACAAGTTAAGTCTTGTATTTTGCCAACAACAAGTTTGAATGTAAGCACACCTGCCTCGTGATAACCTGTTTTAAGGTTTAATGTAATAAACACACAGCAAACAATTTAAATAAAGATGTTTCTATTCTTTAATAATCTCAGGAGGTGAGGACTTTGAAACACAGCAGAAAACAGCTGCACTTGTGTACCAAGAAATAGAAGACATCAGGCAGAATGGCATTGTGATTGATGGAAAGCTCATCAAAGTCAAATGGTATGCTGAACAGTGTTTACTGCCGTTAGATTTCATATATTTACCACATGCACAAATGTAAAAGCCTATCATCAAAATACAATAAGTAATAGACAGTAAACTTGAAACTATGAATGTCAGTAAAGAACCAAGTTAACCACATGTATTATAGTTTATCTAAGCTGCGTTTCTGTCCACCATTCAAATCTAGGTACCTAACAGCTGACTGGAAGTACATGGCAACACTTCTAGGGCTTAACCAGGCCAGCAGCAAGGCATTCTGCATCTGGTGCCACTGCACCAAGAAGGACATCTGTGACTTTGACAGTAAGTATCAATGCTCTAGATCTTACAAGATTTTATAGATGGTGATGTGCTTTGCATACACTGCACTACCTTCATCACTCAAATATGAATATAACCACAGTCGGCTTGATGAAAATTTCTTCCGTGCAGTTGACAGCTGGAACATCCAGAGAAAACCTGGCGATGACAACAAATACGCAGGAAAGAGGGACCACAAGGGGCACATTCTCCCAACCCTTCTACACTTCCCTTTTGAGGAAATAGTTCCAGACGTTTTACACATGGTACATCTTTACTGAAATATTGTTCATGAAAGCGATTTGAAAATTTAGTTTCAATACATCAATTTGCTTTGCTCAATACTGATGATGTCCCTTATACACATTTCAGGGCATGAGAATCCGGGGGAAGATGTTAAATCAGGTAAGAAACTTAAATTTTTCTTCAATTTTTCTTTTCTAATTTCCTTTCAAAGCTAGCAAAACTTTGGTAGTATGGTTGGATCTTTATGGGAATTTCACCTCATATACAGGTGGTTGTTTGGGCCATAAACCAGAAGAGAACAGAGCAGCTGCTGAGTGCCATGAAAGACATCGGTGTGCCGTTCAGGCTGATGGAGGGAGCGGGGGATGATGGGCAAGGATCCATCAAAACATGGACGCAACTTAATGGTGAGATTGATAACTTATTCCAGTATGGTTTACATTTTTTTTTTATTCGTTTAACTAAGAGATGTACATACAGTAAAAAGAAAAACAGTGTGGCAAGCCCCTCTTACTACAATATACTAACACACAGAATAAATATTTGTACTGTGACATTTTACGAAGAATGTTTGTCTCGAAAAATCATGAAAATAATGCATTACAGAAATGAGGTTTCTTATTCAAGGCTGTACTCTTATAGATGTCATATTTTGCACA